TGTGTGTGCGCGCGTGCGTGCGTGCGTGTGTGCGCGTATTTTGTTGTTGTTGGTGGTAGTGGTGGTAACAGTGGTTAGCATTTCTTACCCCAAGCTTATATGCACTTGCTTGTTTTTCCTCACTTCATTTCTGTGTTTATGTTTCTCTTTTTCCTCACTTATATTTCTTTATCTCAATTAGACTAAGCATCTTAAGTTCAAGGAGAAAAAGTATGATTTTACTTGTTTTTTTGTTTTAATCCATGGGGAGAAATGGCCCCAAAGGAAGATGACCCAACTCCCCATGTTGGCCTCTCCTCTTGATTTCAGAAGTTTCCACAGGACCAAGGGCACAGCCTGAGATTGAGGAGTGTGTGCGAATCTAAGGAAGTCCTGAGTGCTGATGGTGACGTGTGGGAGCGCAGCTCAAGCTCAGAAGCCTCACTTGGCGAGGAAGCACTTCAGCTGCCTGAGGGGACCATTGTGTATCTCCTCCTGCTCTCTCCGTGCTTACATTGTATGTTCAGGATAGTCCCTCACAGGCATGCCAGAGGCGGGCCTCATCTAGAAAACCTCTCACTGGTGCATCCAGAGGTTCGCCTAATCTATGGACCCCCTCACAGGCCTTCCTGGTGATCTTAGATCCTGCCAGTTGACAATATATTAACTACCACATTCTGCATGTTGAACTCTGAATTTTGGGTAGAAAACGAGCATGAATACATATCATAAGCCAACAGATGTATCTTTGATCGTTTCATTTGACTGAAATGCAATATGTGTGGAACTTATAAGTCGAAGTAATCAATTCCCAAGCTCATCGCCTTATACAACCTGTGTTTATACCCAGTAGACATCACTGCACACTTGGAGACCACAGCGAGAGAGTGGTGGTGTTAGGTAGCTGTGTGAAGGAAAATTTGATGCTGACTGTCATGCTTGCAGACTTGAGCCTTCAGGGTTCAGAACCACTTTTCCTTTCAGGGGAACAGGCTCCACTGTTTCGAGCTTGTGGGTTCTGGATATACAAACACACGACTGTACATGCGAATTGTTTACTTTCTTATACATAGTGCGCATACATGTGTGAATGTGTGTGTTTGTGTGTGTGTGTGTGTGTGTGTACACACATGATTGAGGACGTATGTACACAACTGTGTGCAGGTTTGTTGAGGCCAGAGGTTGGGGATGGTGTCTTCCTTGATCATTTCTACCTTGTGCATTGAGGCTGGATCTTCCATGTGAAGCAAGAGCTTACCAAATTAATTGGCTAGCATAGCTAACTAGCTTCCCCGGGTCCTCCCATCTCTGCCTCCCAGGTACCAGGATTACAGGCAGGTCACCACACCCACCTAACAGGTGTGTGTTGGGGATCCAAACTCTGATTTTTGTGCTCCCACAGAAAGTGCTTCACCTGATAAGCCATCTCTTCATCCCTGAGTTGTTTCTTTCCGTGTAAATTGTTAGAAACATCTTTAGATATTTCAAAGACTGTTGAGAGTACAAATTAGATAATGTATAATATTGTTAAATGTACATATTACTAGATAACATTTGACCCTCCTCCTCCTCCTCCTGGACCACCTCCTCCTCCTCGCCCTTCTCTTCTTCTTCCTCCTCCTCCTCTTCTTTTCCTAAAAATGACATCTTCTCTGAGGCATGACAACAATGTGGTTTGTGCATATTCCTGCGGTAGAGATCTTGTGCTGAGTAGTTAGTATTTATTGACTTGCTTCGCTCTTCACAGGGGGCAAACTGAGGCAGGGTGTAGATCCAGCTGCTGGCTGGTGGCCTAGCACACTTTTTCTGAGGGAAACTTTTCAGGCCGGAACTGATAGTTACTGACTGTGACTTCCACTGATAGTGTTAAACTGCGGGGCCAGAATTGAATTGCTGGCATCGGGGCCAGAATTGAATTGCTGGCATCGGCCAGGGCTGGTAGCTTGTGGGCGTGGGCTTACACCTTTTGTGGTTTAAGTGCCGGCTAGGGCTGTTAACACTGGAAAGCAGTGTTGGCTTTCCACTGGTTTCCAGTAGTATAGACTGTATTAGTCTGCATCCTTTGAGAAGCCAATATTCAAACAGAAACAAATGTATAGGAGATTTTGGATGAAACCGTTTTCTCCTCTTACACAGGGAAGATACCAACGTGGGTATATAGGGTCTCAAATAAGATAGGCATTTAAGCCAGGCCCATCGGCACAGGACTATAATTCCCACTGCTCCGGAGGCTGAGTCAGGAATGTCATGGGTTCAAGGCCTGCCTGGGCTTCATGAGTTCAAAGCAAACCTGACCAACTAAACAAAACTCTTAAGAAAGAACTGAGAATGTAAGTCAGTCATAGAATGCTTCTCCAGCATATATGAGACCTTGGTTTAATTCCCAGTAGTACGAGAGAGAGAAAGAGAGGAGTAGAGAAGGAAGAGGAAGAGGAAAAATAGAAGTAGAGAAAGTGGAGGAAGAGGAAAAATAGAAGAGGATAGAGAGAAAAGAGGGGAGAGAGAAAGGTGTTTATGCAATGGAGTACGTTTAATGTAGCCATTGGTAGGTGAAAACACATTACATTTTTACAGAGATTGATATCTAGGCTAATTCCATAATATTTTTATCATTTTATTGATATGCCTGTGTTCAGACCCTATGGCAAAAGTATGAGTTAAGTTGACTCTGAAGCCTTACGTGGTTTGCAAATAGCACAGTCACCACAGAATAAGGCACACATTTAAAAATATGCTGGGATTTGCTTGCATAGGAAGCCCAATTCTTAGCTTTCAGACATCAGGAATGGAGCAGAGGAAGACTTTGGAAAGAAAACTATGGTGCTCTGAAGGCCACATTTAGAAACTACCTTGAGTGTGGTGCCTATATATAGTGAGAGCCTCTTTTAAGAAAAATAGCTCTCAGCCTTTGATGTGCATTGTGAGTCAGAGGTCTTGCCAAACATTAAGAGGGTGAGCTATAAAGATACATAGCTCTGTGTGACCAAGCTGTTCTTTCAGAAGCTCCGGGGAAGCGCTTCAAGGATTCAAACCATGGTGCTCAATCATTTTTTCAATATAAAAGAGCATGGCGTGGCTGGCTTCCCTAGAGTGACTGGCCTGGTCACTTCCTTGTTGGCTGCTAAGTATTGTTACCTGTCCTGGCAGACCACAGATGCCCTCTCGGGTACCTTGGTTTTTCTTAGCACAACGTTATGTTTTTTAAAGTCCTGCCTATTGGCTACTGGGTTTCTGCAAACAAAATGTTAGATGTGGGAGAATTTCAAAGAAGTTGTTGTTTTTCTGAGCCATCTTTCCAGCTCTATACCCCCTTTTATTCAGACTGGTACTCTAGCCTATGCTATGGTGTTGTCTGCATTTAGGGTGAATCTTCCCTCGTTAGTTAAACCTCTTGAAATGCACTCACAGACATAGCCAGAAGTGTGCTTCATTAATTTCCTATGTGTTTTTTTTTTAATCAAATCAAGTTGATGATCAAAATTAACTGTCACATACCAGCAATGTATAAGGGTGCTGATTTCCCTGTATCTTTGCAAACACTTGTCATTGTCCATCATTTTGATTACAGCTGCACGGGTGCTTGGGAATGGTGCCTCACCGTGGGTCTCACTTGAATTTCTGTGACTGCTCATTACGAACTGCTATCCTTTCATGTGCTTATTATCTGCTTACAAACACACGCACACAGGCACATACAAGTTATTTATGGAGGTGCCATGGTTACTTTTACATTTAACTGCCTGTTTTTAAGTTATAAAATATATGAAATGAAATATTTTCATGAAATATTTTCATGAAATGAAATATTTTCATTCATATTTTTTCTGTCTTTACTTTGAAGCACAAAAATTTATTTTTCTTTTGTGACAGGTTCTCTCTAGGTAACCTAGGATAGTCCCCAGCTTCTGCTCTTCTTGCCTTAGCTTCCTTGCGTGCTGGGATTACAGGCATGTGATAGATGTAGTAAGCGGAACGTTAAAATGATGCTCCTCACCCTCGTCCAATTTTCCTAGCTTCTTTCTTTCCAGAATAAATTTTTATTTTGGGCTATTGTGAGACTTGATCCTCTGGTGCTGTTTTAAAATTAGAGCAGTTACAATTACTGCCACAAGTCCCTTACATGATAGGTCCACTAACAAGGTGTGTCAGCTTCCCAAGATGGCCCTTAAAGCCCCCAGAGGCCTCACCCCTCCTCAAGCATATGCAAGCAATTGAGATTTGCTAGGGGAGATGGAGGTGGGGAAGGGTTCCCCAGGGCAGTAGCTGCCCATGCTCCTGCTGATAACTCTTCATCCATGAACCTGGGAGTAACACTAGTTAAACTCACTACTTCACCAAACAAGGCTTGAGTGAATTAATTTCTTTTGTCTTTCATTGGTGCCCTCTCTGGGATGAATACAAGTTTGTTCACGTGCCCCAGGAAAGGGCTCACAACAGTGGTTAGCTTTACCAAGTTAGGGTTGATTCTTTATAGACAACTGTATTTTACAATTGTATCTTATTATGTAAGCATGCAAGCTTCCCTGTAAGAGACAAAGCAGATTGTAGCCATGCGGGATGAAGATGATGACAGACCCATGTCTCTTAACACTGAGAACATGATTTGAGAAAGGTGTCACTGGGTAATTTTGTCATTATATGAACATCCCGGGGTGCACTCATACAGATGGAAATGGTCTAGCATACCATCCATATGGGCGAGCTCTTGGCTAGAAACATGGACAAGAACATTCCGTCTTGCTCGCCCTCCCTTAGCCCTTTCCATGATGCAATGCTTATTGACCTGTGTGAAGGTCTCATGTGAGCTATCCACATCAACACCGGAGAGCAAAGGGTCCCCGCAAGCAGTATTACATCTGCATACGTAAAGCGATTTACAAGAGGGATAGAAATTGAATATTTTGGATTTATTGCTTCGGTATTTAATCAAGTAAACTTCAAGGTGAAAACCTCCATGCAAAGAAATAAGCCTTTTTCTTTTCTTTTTTTAAACCAGTTTTTATTTTCTGTCCTTTTTCCAGGCCTCTGATGATCGTCACGCAGAAGATCACAACCTTAGCTTTCCAAGTTCACGATGGTGAGAAAACAGTCTTCCCATTGGTTCTTAGAGCCAGCCTGGCGTCTGGAGTGCCCAGGCATGCAATATAGTTCACACACAGTCCAAGCTTTATGTGAGCACCGCAGGCCTTGCTCTCTCCTGTTCAGAGTTTCCAGGCCTTCTGAATCACACCCTTCCGTTTTTCCCATTTCTTCATTGAATCCACAGTCTACATTTTCTAAAATGTTTGCTCCAAGAACAGTTGAGTTTTTGTTGTTTATATTTTAAAGTTAATTCATGATGCCCTCTGACCTTGTCCCAATTTATTACGGCAACCGCTTCCTTTTTGCTTTGATTTCATCTCTGGAAAACTTAGAGGGTAATAAAAAATTTAACAGCACCGGCTGGTTAATTGGTTTTTAATGCTAGGGTTTTTAGCCCCCTGGGGGAGGTGTGTACTTGGAGAAATCATCTGATAAGATTAGCCTGACCTATAAAAAGCTGGGAGAAGGAAGAACTTTTTTTTCACTTAGGTTCTTCCTAAAAATGGCTTGAACATGGGATTTACACCCTTAAAGTGGCTTTCCAGGGAAGGGAGGAAGACTTTCAGCCAGGTAGAAGATTCCAGTACAGGATTAAAAGGTACAGTGTGCAGGTACCCTGTGGGTTTGCACTGCTCAGGGAATGTCAACTTTTGACCTGCGTTTCTAGTAGACGGGTTTAGAGGATTTCTCTCCAAGGGCTAGTTTCCCTGATTTACTTAAAGCGTGGGAACAGATTGCCTTTCGTTTGACCCAATGTGCTTCATTCATACTTGGGGCTTTGGCTACAAGTATGAATGAAGCTGCGTAGAGCTGGGTCATTCCATGGCAAGAATGGGGTGTACCCTTCCTTTAGCAAGAATTGTGTGTTTGTAGGGTCACCAAACATTCTGAATTGTTCACGGCCCAGACAAATCCCAAAAATGTGACTTTTATCGTCAGAATCAGAAAGTCCCGGGAAAACTGAAACCTTGCTTGGTAGTGGCTGCCAGGAAGGTCTAACCCATGGCCCCTGGGCTCGAGGAAGCCTATGATAGCTTTCAATGTAGCCCTACCCCAAACTATAAACTAACTTAAAACACTGTAAGATTTCTTGGGGTGGAAGAGGATGGAGTGAGGGTTAGCTGTGCTGTTCTGTTCTTGAGTTAAACTTTATACATAACAGCTTTATGTCACCGTGTCAAAAGGTTGGGCATGCCTACCAGTGTAGACTAACAGAAGTAAAGTCAGTTCAATTCTGCCAGTTGCAATGGAGGTATTTCTTACTGAGATCTCAAGGAAAAACAGAGTAGGGTTTTCTTGTTGGTTCACTCTCTTCCCATCTATCTGTCTCTTTGTCTCTGTCTCTGTCTCTCTGTCTCTCTCTGTCTCTCTCTCTCTGTGTGTATAGGCATGGCCTCCATGTGTAACCTAGTTTAGTCTTGAACTTGGGAAGTTTCCTCCCATGTGTTACCATACTGGGCTGGAGTGAGTAAGGTTTTCTTTTCTTTTCTTTTCTTTTCTTTTCTTTTCTTTTCTTTTCTTTTCTTTTCTTTTCTTT